CCGCCCCCGGCCCCGCCTCTCACCCCCCGGAGGATCCCAGTGCGTATCTCCGGGCCCTTGGTGTCCAGGGCAATGGCCACCGGCCGATAGGTGAGCGGGGAGGTCGCAAAGCTCTCCACCGCCTCCCGGATGTTCGCGATGGAGTCGGCGTGATACTGGAGAGGAGCGGGCATTTCAGAGTCCGTGGCTCGGACCCCGGGCACCCTCTGTCCCCACCCGCGTCGCCCCAGCCCCGCCTGGCACCTCGTGGGAACCGTGGGAGAAGTTGAGTCGCGCTATGTTCATCCCGGCCTTGATCATTTCCTTGAGGCGCTCCACGGAGCGAGAGGTCGGCCCTGGAACCAGAGATCCCGCTCAGACACCCTTTCCCAGAAACCTGAGAGATGAGGAAACCCATCCCTACCCTCAGAGACTTCCCACGCCACAGAAGTCCTGTTACGGGATCTCTACTCCCAGACACGACTCCAGTCCACAGGTCAGAAACCCCGTTTCCCTCTCCAGCCAACATTGCCTCCCTGGTAGGCAGCAGACCCCATAGGGGCCTGGGGGGAGGGGTTGTTCTGAGCTAGGCGTGAGGGAACAGGGGTTGGCAGTGATGTAAGTGCTGCAGGGTTGGGGTAACCCCAGGATGTGAGTGGGTATGGGAGGGTGGATGCCAGGTGAGGGCTTTCGGTAAGGGGCTTTAGAGCTGGGAGGCCTCCTGTTAACCGAGGAGAGCTGAGTTCAGTCCTGCTCTGCCCATCCCGTAGCCATGTGACTGAGCGCCAGCCCTCTAACCTTTCAGGCTGTCCGTCCACTCCCTGTCTAAAGTCAGCCCTGCCACTTGTGCACTAGCTGTCTTCCCTGCCACCAGATCAAGGATGTAGAGTCAAGCTTTCTTCTCTACATCATCAATATTTTCCTTTTTACTGAATCCTGCCCATCAGCATATAAACCTGCTGTTATTTCTTTCATTACATTTTTTTTTCTTAATCCCAATTCCTCCTCCAGCTGCAGTCCTTTTTCTTTGCTCTCCTTTGCAGCAGAACTCATTACCAGTTATCTGTATTTGCTGCCTCCAGTTCCCCTCCCCCATTCTCCTGTGAACCCCCTCCAGTCAGGAGTTGGCCCCCATCTCTCCACTGCATCTGCTCTTGGAGGCCACCAAGAACCTCTGTGCTGCGGCTGAATCATCCAATGGTCAATTCCCTCTCAGTCCTTATCTTACCTGGCCCATCAGCAGCATTTGACACACATGTCTCCTTGACACACCTTCACTTGGCCTCCAAGGCACCACCATCTCTTAGTTTTCCTCCTCCCTCACTAGCTGCTCCTTCTCAGTATCCTTTGCTCATTCCTCACCTCAATATTAGATGTATCACTCTTCTCTGTCATTTTACCTTCACACCCTTGATGATCTCAACTAGTCTCATGGCTTTCTATACCATCCATATGCTGACAACTCCAAAATTTCCACCTCCAGTCCAGACCTCTCTCCAACCCTAGAGCTGTATATCTGATTGCCTACTGTACACCGTACTTGAATGTGTAATACGCATCTCAAGGTCAGCATGTGCCAAACTGAACTCCTGATCTCTTCTCCCCAAACCTATTCCACCACAGTCTTTCCTGCTCAGTTGATAACGCCATCCTTCCAGTTCCACGGGCCAAAAACCTTAGCATCATCCTTGACTCCTTTCTTTCTCAACTCCCTCGTCCCATCCAATCCGTCAGGAAATCCTGTTGACTCTACCTTCAAATTACACTCAGAATCTGATCATTTCTCACCACTGTCGTCATCTCTCCCAGGAATACTGCAATAGCAGCTTCTGCCTTTGCCCTTGCCCCTACCCCCACCCCTAATCTATTTTCAATGCAGCAGCCAGGGTGGTTCTGTTAAAACATAAGTAAGATCATGTAATTTCCCTGTTCAAAACCCTGAAGTGGTTTCCCATTTTACTCAAAGGAAAACTCAACTCAAATTCTAATAAGGGCCTACAGGGCCCTACCGTCTCTTAATTTCTACTCCTCCTAGCTTTGATGATTTCCAACTGTATCGGCCTCCTTAACTTAGAGCCTTTGTACTGGCTGTTCCCTCTGCCTGGAACCCCCTTCCCCCAGATATCTGCATGGTAAATTCTCTCATCTCCGTCAAGCCTTTGCTCAGGTTTCATTTGCTCAATAATGCCTACCTCTACCTCCTTACTTAGGACTGCCACCTGCCTCCTGCCCCCACACTCCTGCTACCCCTTTACTGAGCTCTATTTTTCTTTTTTGTCCTTAGTGAACAAATTTTAGTTTATTTTTTTGATCTTTTCTATGTCTAATTTTGTTTCCATTTTAATACATAGTTATAATACACATTGTATATAGAATAATTTATATCTTGCTTGAATTAATAACATTTAATAAAACATTTCATATTCCATTATACATCTCTTTGTATACATAATTCTCAATAATTCATAGCATTCATTGTATGGATTGAATTGTGTCTTCCAAAAATTTGTTATAAATCCTAACCTCTACGCCTGTGGTTATAATCCCATTTGGGAATAGTTTGTCTTTGTTATGTGAATGAGACAGGGTTAGTGTAGAGTGTGTTTTGAGTCAATCTCTTTTGAGATATAAAAGAAATTAAGCAAGCAAGCAGAGATGGGGGAAGAGAGATGCCAAGCCACACGAAGATCGCCCAGGAGCTGAAGCTCAAAAGAGATAAGGATCTTCCTCCAGAGCTGACAGAGAGAGCTGGCACCCTGAATTTGGACTTCTAGCCTCCTAAACTGTGAGAAGGGAGCCCTGGTGGCGCAGTGATTAAAGCGCTCAGCTGCCAACCAAAAGGTCAGCGGTTTGAACCCTCCAGCCACTCCACAGAAGAAGGATGTGGTGGTTTACTTCGTAAAGATTCACAGCCTTGGAAACCCTATGGAGCAGTTCTATCTACTCTGTCCTATGGGGTCACTATGAGTTGGAATCGACTTGATGGGATGGGTTTGGTTTGCTTCTGGAAACTATGAGAAAATAAATTTCTGTTTGTTAAAGACATCCACTTGTGGTATTTCTGTTATAGCAGCACTAGACAACTAACATAATTCAGTATATTTTTCTTTTTTTCATAGTACTTATCACTTGCTAACATACTAAATAATTTAATTATTCATTATAATTTTTTTTTAAATTATTTATTGTCCTACCCAGGTAGACTGTCATCTCCCCAAGGAAGCTCTGTTTTTTTCACTGATCTTCTCCTAGGACCCAAAACCCTACCTGCTAAAAAAAAAAAACAAGAAACTAAATCCATTGCTGTGGAGTGATTCCAACTCATAGCAACCCTATAGGGCAGAGTAGAACTGCACCATGGGGCTTCTAAGGAGCAGTCGGTGGATTCGAGCTGCCGACCTTTTGGTTAGCAGCCAAGCTCTTAACCACTGTGCCACCAGGGCTCCCCTGTCTACTAAGTACTCAATAAACATCGGTTGAATGAATGACTCCGTCAAACTGGAAAAGTCTCAAAGGAGACAAACTACGAGGAAGCACCTTGAAAAACACCCAAGAGGCCCTGTGAGGCTGCAGGGTGGTGGGATTGGGGGTGCCTACCGATGGTGGCAATGATGCTGGTACTGCGAGCGGCCACGGGCTCTGAGTCGATGTCCAACAGGCAGAGGTGCTCCAGGAAGGTGTCTGCCATAGCAGCTGACAACTGTTGCCGTTGGAAGAAGGCAGCGCCCAGCTCCTGGTTCAATTGGGCGACACTGGCCAGCCGCAGGTACCCCGCTGGCCCTGCAGCAGAAGAGGGCTCAGGGGGCTGCAGGGCACCTGCCTCTGCTCCCCACCCATTCAGCTTGGCTCACCTACCCCTTCCCTCAGCTCTTTAGTTTTTGTTGAGCCCTTCCTACCAGCTTTATGCATGAATGATCTTATTTAATCACAGAGATCCTGTGAAGCAGGTACTATTAAACGCTCTATAATTATCCCCCATTTTACAGATAAGGAAACAGGCTGAGAGAGATTAAATAAATTGCCCAAAATCATATAGCTTCTAAGTAACAGACATGTGACTCGAATCCAGCTCTAGATAACTCTAGGCTCAAGTTCTTGGCCGCCAGCTATACCAACGCCTCCTCACCCTGGCCTTCTTGCACTTCAGCTGGGGATTTCCCTCAGCCTCAGTCCACTTTAGTGTCTAGCCCACAGTGTCTTCTGCTTTTCCAGCCTCAGAATCACCCAGTCCCTTCTCTTAAGGTCCCTGTTTTCTTCCTTCCAGCCCTTGGTAATTGGCTGGCTTCCCCACAGCCTCCTCTGACCTTCCCAACCCCTTCAGTGCTGCCTCAGGCCCTGGGGCCCCCCAGCCTAGAACAGAGCCCCACTTGCTGCCACACCCTCCATGTCACCGCACGCCTGCTGATCTCTGTGGGTCTGTCAGAGCAATGAGGCCCAGCTGGCCTGGAGATCAGAGCTGAGGACTGGTTAAAGTGTCACCAGGGGCCAGAGTCCAGGGACCACGGGAGCACCCCGTGGCTCCCACGCTGCAGGCTCTCCTCTGCGCTGCCCAGACTAGGGCCCATAACTAAACTCAGATGAATACAGATCCTCCCCAAGCCCCTTCTAGCCAGTGGCAGACGTGGACCGTTTGTACCCTCGCCCTGACTCTTGATTTCCACCCTCATTTTCCCCCCTCTTCTCCATGGCTGGAGTCCCTGCGTGGTGCAAATGGTTAAGTACTCCATTACCAGCTGAAAGGTTGGTGGTTCGAACCCACCTAGAGGCACCTCAGAAGACAGGCCTGGCGATCTGCTTCCAAAAGATCACAGCCTTGAAAACCCTATGAAGTGTTCTCTGCACACACGGGGTCGCCATGAATTGGAATTGACAGCAAGTAACAACAACAGCTCAATGGCTTCTGTTCCCTGTTCTTACCTCCTGGAGCCCCAATCAGGATGGACACTGCCAAGTCCCTCTGGGACTTAGAGATCCATGACAAAGGCTGCTGGGGGGGCACATTCTCCTGCACCGACATGCTTCCAAAGCGTGGGTCAGTCACTGCCTGGACCGTGAAGAATTAGGGTGAGGAGGACAAAAACTGCTGGTCTTATCTAAGGGAGCCAGAGAAAAGAAAAGGGGCACACCCAGTAGGCCACCCCTGTCCCCACACAGAGCCCCTCCTCCAGACCTGCGGGCTCTCTGCTCCCGTCTTCTGGCAACCCCTGAACCCATTTTTCCTGATCCCTTCTCAATCCACTTACCCCATGTGGTCATCAGCCTGAATAGAGTTTTACCAATGATACCAAAACGTACCCTTTTTCTTTGTACTTTACTGAAGTTTGCCCTAGACGAAATGTGCCTGGGTGGCACAAACGATTTGCGATCGGCTGCTAACCTAAAGGTTGGTGGTTCGAGCCCATTCAGTGGCTCCATGAAAGAAAGGCCTGGTGAACTGCTTCTGTAAAGATTACAGCCAAGAAACCCTGGAGCTCGGTTCTACTCTATAACCCATGGTATCTTAGTTACCTAGTGCTGCTGTAACAAATACCACAGGTGGATGGCTTTAACAAACAGAAGTATATTCGCTCACAGTCTGGTAGGCTAGAAGTCCGAATTCAGGGTGTCAGCTCCAGGGGAAGGCTTTCTTTCTCTGTCAGCTCTGAAGGAAGATCCTTGTCATCAGTCTTCCCTTGGTCTAGGGGCTTCTACGAGCAGGAACCCTGGGTCCAGCGGACGTGCTCTGCTCCTGGCACTGCTTCCTTGGTGGTATGAGGTCCCCATGTCCCTCTGCTCGCTTCTCTCTTTTATATCTCAAAAGAGTTTGGTATGAGACACAATCTAATCTTGTAGATTGAGTCCTGCCTCATTAACCTGTCATTAATCCCCTCTCATTAACATCATTGAGATAGGATTTATAACACATAGGAAAATCACATCAGATGACAAAATGGTGGTCAATCATACAATACTGGGAATCATGGCCTAGCCAAATTGACACACACATTTTTGCGGGACACAATTCAATCCATGACACATGGGGTTGCCATGAGGAAGCAGGGTAGGGACTGGAGCCTGTAGAAAGGGGAAGGGGAGCACGTTGGTGCTGTGGTGAGATTCTCCAAGGGCTTGGATAGCATCATCATCCTAACAATGGCCACCATTTCCTCATTCACCACTCTTCTGTATTTATTGAGCACCTAGTCTGTCAGGTCATGAGGATACAGCTCTGAAGGCTTTTGCCCTTCCATGGAATTTACAATACAGTAGGGGAGACAGACTTTAAAAACAAGTATCAAAGAAAGAAATACTGTAGAGCATTACAAACGCTGTGAGTCCTATTAAAAGACTCAATCTTGGAACAGAGAAGTCAGTGAGGAGAAGAGAGGGGAATTTATTTCAGGTGAGGTTGGTCAAGGAAGGCCTCTTTGAAGTGATCGTATTTAAGCTGAGAATGGAAGGCTGAGAAGGAATCGGTTGGGACAAAAAGGGGCAAGGAGCTTCCTCTGGGGGAGGAGATAATATATGGCAAGGCTCCGAGGAAGAGGAAAGCTTGGTGTCAAAGAAGAAAAGCTGCAATGAGGCACGTGCTGGGATGGAGGAGCCTGGTCCATGCAGAGATTGGGAACCTAAGTAGACCTTGAAGGCCTGGGTAGGAGTTTGGACTCTGAATTGGGTAGGTTTAAACAGAGAAGCGACATGACCCAGCTGATGCTTCAGACCCTTCTGGCCAGTGGGTAGAGAATAGACAGTAGTAGGGCCAGATGGCATAGGCAGATGGGGGAGAGGTTAGAAGTAATCTAGATGAGAGGTGATAGACTGGCTTGGCAGCATGGGATATGGGGAGAAGGGAACAGATTTGATATGCCTTTTGGAAGACGGCAGACAGGGTAGAAGGCTGAGGATTCTGGCTTGAGCAGTTGGGTAGATGGTAGTGCCATTTACTGAGGTCAGAGAAGAAATAGATTTTAGGGGGAAATGATCAAGGTTTCAGTTTTGGACGAGTTTGAGATGCCAATTAATCATTAAAATCAATAGGTGGACAGTTGGGTCTATACACTGAGCACTTGCTGTGTGCTGGGACAGCGTTTAGTGAATCAGGTACATTGTCTGCTTTTATCGTCACGACGACCTAGAGGGCTGGTAGGATGAACAGCCTGTTTTACAGATGAGGGAACAGAGGCTTAGCAGGGTGTGCTGGGTACCCTCTGTTGCCACTCCAGATTCCTTCTCCACCCTTCTCTGGGCCATGAGGCTGACCTGTGTGGGCTGCATCAATGGGCTCCCTGACTTCTCTAGGGTTTGGCCTGTTGGAAGTGGTACCAATAGAAGATGAGACAGAAGAGAGTGAGGTTGGGGCATTTACCTCCTCAGCTCCCTGCCTGCAAGGTCGATAGAGGTCACACCACCTGCCAGGGGCCTTCTTTCTCCAGATTCTAGTGTTCTAGGGTAAAAGCATCACAAAGTTTAGTAAAGCAAAAAATAAAGGTTTTATTCAGCGTGTATTTAAAGAGGCAAAAGTGGGAAACGGACAGGCATGCTGCCACAGCAATGTCTGCCCTAGTCCAAGGAATATTATAGAATAAACAAGAATGGGAAAACGGACAAGCGTGTTGCTACAGCCAGGTCTGCCCGAGTCCAAGGAATATTACAGAATAAGTCTGAGTGGGAAAATGGACAAGCATGCTGCCACAGCCCTGTCTGCCCGAGTCTGAGGAACGTTACAGAATCATCAGTATATACTAACACTACGAAATGGGCAAAACCATCGAAAGCTTCACTTTTTCACAGATTGGCTAGAAACTGCTAAATCTCCGTGATTCTACATTTTGAATCGTCTCTCTTAATAATCATTGGTACAGGTTTCGGTAACACCGGTCAGGAGGGTCTTCATTGGTCCAACAAATCTTACTATTCGCTAAATGACTGGTTTCTGTGAAAGGATCCCTAAAAGATGTTTTCCAAGATCGTTCTAGCTATTATCTTTATACCTCAGGGCCCAGTTGATGTGTCCTTGTGGGTCCTTGTGAGTCCAGCTTCAGCTGGGTCACATTCTAGGACAGGGAATAATGGCTCCAAAATTCTCTCCTAAATCACTGGTTCCTTCTCCAGGGACTGATCTCTCCCGATAACATGTCCAAAGTATATAAGACACAGTCTTACCATCCTTGCTTCTAAGGAGCATTCTGGCTGTAATCCTTCCAAGACAGATTTGTTCATTCTTCTGGCAGTCCGTGGTATATTCAGTATTCTTCGCCAACACCGTAATTCAAAGGCGTCGATTCTTCTTCGGTCTTCCTTATTCACTGTCCAGCTTTCGCATGCATGTGAGGTGATTGAAAACACCATGGTTTGGGTCAGGAGCACATTAGTCCTCAAAGTGATATCTTTGCTTCTTAACACTTTAAAGAGGTCTTTGGCAGCAGATTTGCCCAATGCAATGTGTTGTTTGATTTCTTGACTGCTGCTTCTGTGGGAGTCCTAGGCTCTCTGTATATAGAAGACAGAACAAATAAAGATGGACAAAAGCTGTGACCAGAGGGAACATGGTAGGTCTCAAAGTTGGCCATTTTAGCGTCTGGGGTCTTAAAAGCTAGCGAGTGGCCATCTAAGATGCATCAATTGGTCCCAACCCACCTGGAGTAAAGAGAATGAAGAACACCAAAGACACAAGGAAAGTATTAGCCCGAGAGACAGAAAGGGCCACATAAACCAGAGACTTCATCAGCCGGAGAGCAGAAGAACTAGATGGTGCCTGGCTACCACCAATGACTGCCCCGACAGGGAACACAACAGAGAGTCCCTGATGGAGCTGGAGAAAAGTGGGGTGCAGAGCTCAAATTCTAGTAAAAAGACCAGACTTAACAGTCTGACTGAGACTGGAGGAACCCGGGAAAGCATGGCCCTGGACTCTCTGTCAATCCAGCACTAAAACCATTCCCGAGGCCAACTCTTCAAAGATTAGACTGGACTGTGGGACATAAAATGATACTCGTGAAGAGTGTGCTTCTTAGCTCAAGTAGATACATGAAACTAAATGGGCAGCTTCTGTCCAGAGGCGAGAAGAGAAGGCAGAGAGGGTCAGGAGCTGGTTGAATGGACATGGGAAATCAGGGGTGGAAAGGAGGAGTGTGCTGTCACAGTTTAGGGAGAGCAATTGGGGTCACATAACAATGTATGTATAAATTTTTGTATGAGAGACTAACTTGAATTGTAAACTTTCACTTAAAGTACAACAATAAAATAAAATTTGAGAAAGCTGGCCATTTTAAACTGACTCCAGGACCAGCTGGGAGAACAGGAGTGCTAGAGATCCCAGCCTCAGTGGTTAACAGGAAATAGGAGTAGTGGCCCAAAGTAGCACCTGTCCCATCCAGCCAAGGGACAGGAGCTTTGGCCTGCAATCAGATCAAAGGGGAAAAGCAGTCTGGCTGACCTGGGTCTACGTGAGAGATGGTCTGCACATTGTCACCAGGTCAGGCACCCCTGAGCAGGAGGGGGGTAGGTGAGGAAAGTGGGTGAAGGAGAAGAGCCCCAGCGAGTCAAACAGGACAGGCGTGTTCAGCTTTATCGTATGAGACCACTCCCCACGCCCCAAACACACACACTCCAACACCCTCAGACGCCCGACACACGGAGACACAGGCACAGAAACAAATGAGGCTGTCATTCATTCCACAAGCATGGGTCGAGTCCCCACCACGTGCTGGCCCCACACTGGGCTCCAAGGACGTGAGGCCACTAAAATGAGTGAGTCCCCCGCCCCAACGGGGAAAGAGACAGGAATGCCAACAGTTTTAACGTTTCCTAACGCCTGTCAGCCGGGTGATGAGATGGAGTTCAGGATACAGGCGGGCACCAGGAAAGACTCTTTTGGGTGGGGGAGGACGTCAGGGTGGCTTTACAGAGGAGGTGACGCTAGAGAGGAACCGAGTCTGCCCAGCACTAGGATACACACCCGCACACGCTCCTGCCCCCACCAAGTCCACTCACACAAGGTGCACACACACACACAGACTCACACCTAGACGTGGCACACTTGAACGTC